AAAAAAACCCCGCGATTCTCTGCAAAGAGGGTATCAACAGGCGCAGGGGCAGTTGGGCTTGGTGGGGCACCAGATGGTATTCAGCTAAGCTTGTAGAAGGGATAACTGTGACCTGCAGACACATGCGACCAAAACTGCGCACTCCACTTATCTCACAGCTTCGCATTAGTTTGCTGGTTTGACCAAGGGTGGACCTTTTAGTTCATGAAGTACAGAGAAGGAAGCAATTCTTTGAAAAATCAATGAAGAGTTCTCATTTTGGCAGTAGATTCCCAGCAGTGAAGGAATCGTTTGATTTTTTGACCCAAATATAGCCGAGAAACGTGCAAAGTATTAAGACCTGGGCAATCATGGTTCCCACTTTTGTTTTATCGTAACTTTCTGTAACCTTTCTGCAGGCAACTTGAAGCTGACAGAGACGAACTGGAAGCTCATCGCGACATGGATGAGCAAATGCTTGAGGAACAGAAACTCGTTGAAAAAGCGTTATTGGGAGAAATCGAGGGTCTTCACGTGAGAATTAGCGAGGCAAGTTTTCAGTACATGCAATTCTATAGAATAAGAAAAATGCCTCCTGAATACTACCCCTCCAGCGCTTTGCATAAAAAGATATGCTCAAAAATAGCACAATGTTGGGGATATTATTAGCTGATTGTTTTTTTTAATGAGCATTGAGCATCATTTTTATGACTTTCAGTACAAACCGAGTTTGACAGCGGAACCCTCACGTTTTGGCTAAGGTTCATAGAATCGTTTCTTTTCAGCTGCAGCAAAGAATGAAGCAAGAAGATGATCATAGAGCTGAGCTTGTTTCAACCATCATGAAGTTTAGGAAGAAGGTTGGCGAGCAGAATGAAGAAATCCAAGAGCTCAAAGATCAGGTGATTTTTTGCGTGTTTCCAAAAGTTACTGACTATCATGCAGTTCATTTGAACCCTATTGAAAGGCCCAGGTTATTTTTGTATCATTTAAGGTGCTGAGGTATCAAGAAGAGTTGAGTGGTCACAAATCTGAAGAGAATAGTATGGCAAGTATGGTCAGTCAGATGCAAGTCAATGTGAACAGGACATTTGCTGAGGTAAGCTCACCCATTTTTATTTTATTCAAGTTCCTAATGAAGTAAGGGAGACAGCAGTCTCCTAATTCTGGTCGTATAAGTGGATATCGGAATC